AGTGCAGTTATTAAAACCAGTTTATTGGTTTCAAAATAAAGTAAAGGCTGCGGCTGAGTGTCTAGAGCAGTCGTCCTCCAATGCAAGAGTTGTGGGTTTGATTCCACCAGCAGTCAAATGCCGAAGTGTCCCTGAGCAAGACAGTGAAACCCTCATTGCCTCTGATGCGTGTCCTATCGGTGGATGAATGTGATAAAGCTCTGATTAGTCTATAAATGAGGGGAAGTTGTAAAACACTTAGAGTATCTTGAAAAGATAGAAAAGTACAGTCCATTTAAATGTAAATGGATGGAAGTTAAAATTTATTTTATATTGTTTTCCTTTTTTTGTAATGTTAATTTACCAAAATAAAATAGAGTTGAGTTAAAAGTTGTTTTGTGATGGCCTCGAATGTTCTGTCTGTCAATTAAATCTTTACTTGTGATTTTTTTTTAATAACTTGCTTTTGCAACCAGCATCAGACAACAGGAAGGTGGAGCAAAGCGAATCTCAAATATTGACCAACGTGGAAGTTTGTTATTCCAGCTGATGTGTTACAGTAAATATGGCACCAAACTGTCACATCACACACACAACTGAGAGGTGTGTGTATTGAGCAAGTGCCCACAATATAAATTTACATCTTTTAATATCCTTAATGACATTTTTTCTGTCTACATAATGTTGTTACATTTTGCAATTATTATATTTTAGTTTATTGTTTATTTCATTATTATATTTGTCCTTTCTATTTTTTTTTTTTTTTGCTGCTTCTGTGTTTTGTTTAAATTTGTAAAGCATTGACAGGTCAACTGATTTACTGGCTGACAGAAAATTATAACGTCAAACAGATATACTTTTCTGTTTTAATAACAAAACAAATTAGTTATTTTTGGATTTTGCACAGTTTAATTTTTTTTATTCGATTTTATAAAATCTCAATTGCTTTCCCTCTTTGAATTTTATATTTTATGCATTCAATACGTTTTGACAAAGTAATACATTAAAAAGTATATATATATATTGTACGGACGAATAATACTGGGCCTTAAATTGCCTGAGCAGAGATGAAATGCTGCAAATAGAATCACATAATCCTGTTCATGTTGTCTAACCCTGTTTGCATGAACCACGTGTTCCAGTGCATGTACCAGTAAACGCCGGGGGGATGTCCTGTATGGAACCACTAAAGCATCAGTTCCTCACTAACCTGAGCTGAATGCATCACAGAGGTTTGACTTTGTCATGCTCATCCACAAATCTGGATAAACAACAAAACTCTTCCCTCTGCCTCTCTCTTCACTAATCAGATGCCGGGCTCAGTCACTCTGTTAGAAGATACGCCAGCATACTCTCAGTGTGGACCGCTGTGATCTCTGTGTGCCTCTGCCAAGCTTAAATCTTCCTGCTTCTCCTGTTGCCTTGGTGCCTTTCCACCCTGATGACCATGGCTTACATTCTCCTCCACACTCAAATAAACCAATAAGCATGAAAGTGTTTGTTGCTTGTGTTTGCTGTGTTAAAACGTACTGCAAGTACAGTTTGGTATGTCTATTTTGTACACTGTTGCTGTTACTGCACCTTGTCTCTGCCGTGTCTGCTTCATTGAAAATATGAATATTAAAACAAATGTACTGCAAGTACAGTTGAGCAAATGTGTTTGTGAGTTTGGAGGGTTTCCAGGTGCCACAGAAAAGTATATTCCTGAAGTTAGACTGGATAAATAACAGAAGAGGCTCAAATGTGTACAATTTAGAAAACACTGAAACTACAGGTACTGTCAAAGCATAGTGTAAATCTTAATGCAGAAAAAGTATACACACACACACACACACACACACAT